TATCTTCAGTAGAGATGGGGTTTCACCACATTGCCCAGGCTGGTCTTGAACTCCTGATCTCAGGTGATCCGCCCGCCTTGGCCTCCCAAAGTGCTGAGATTACCGGCGTGAGCCACCATGCCTGGCCTTGGGCACATTATCTTTAGCCTCCCAATAACTGCAGGTTAGGTACTGTAGAAATCCCAGAAGCCAAAAGCAAGTTCCCGGGATTTGCAGTTCAATGTCTTTGTCTTTTGCCCCTCTGCCCAGTCCTTGGGCTCAGCACTCACCGGTGTTGATCTCCTCCTCGTCATACACATCCACCTCCAGGAGCCTGATGAGCATGCGGAAGAGGATCCTGAGGAACTGTAAATAGGAGCCCGTCTTTCCCACCTAACGGGAAGATTTTTAATTGGGGAGGAGTGGAGGTGGGGAAGAGAGGGGAGGAAAAGAGAAGAGAGATTTCACACCTTGGCTTTGCAGTCTCCTGTTTGAGAGGCCTGAATGAGGTCCTCATTGCTCTGTCACACCTGCTCCACCCCCAAGAGGTTCTCCATTAGGACAAATACCTAATGCATGCGGGGCTTAAAACCTAGATGACGGGTTGGTAGGTGCAGCAAACCACCATGGCACACGTATACAGCTATGTAACCTGCACGCTCAGCACATGTATCCCAGAACTTAAATTTTTAAAAAAGCCAAAAACCAAAATGCCTTTTTGCCCAGCACCTCGCAGGACATTGTAGAGAGGACGCCAAAAGTAGAATACACCATCCCTGACCTCAATGAGCTAAAAAAGGCTACAGTTTACTCAGAACTATTTGCCGGACACATTCTTTTTTTCTTTTTCTTTTTTTTTTTTTGAGACAAAGTCTCACTCTATCACCTAGGATGGAGTATAGTGACATGATCTTGGCTCACTGCAACCCACCTGGTGGGTTCAAGTGATTCTCCTGCCTTAGCCTCCTGAGTAGCTGGAATTACAGGTGTGCACCACCATGCTTGGCTAATTTTTGTATCTTCAGTAGAGATGGGGTTTCACCACATTGCCCAGGCTGGTCTTGAACTCCTGATCTCAGGTGATCCGCCCGCCTTGGCCTCCCAAAGTGCTGAGATTACCGGCGTGAGCCACCATGCCTGGCCTTGGGCACATTATCTTTAGCCTCCCAATAACTGCAGGTTAGGTACTGTAGAAATCCCAGAAGCCAAAAGCAAGTTCCCGGGATTTGCAGTTCAATGTCTTTGTCTTTTGCCCCTCTGCCCAGTCCTTGGGCTCAGCACTCACCGGTGTTGATCTCCTCCTCGTCATACACATCCACCTCCAGGAGCCTGATGAGCATGCGGAAGAGGATCCTGAGGAACTGTAAATAGGAGCCCGTCTTTCCCACCTAACGGGAAGATTTTTAATTGGGGAGGAGTGGAGGTGGGGAAGAGAGGGGAGGAAAAGAGAAAAGAGATTTCACACCTTGGCTTTGCAGTCTCCTGTCTGAGAGGCCTGAATGAGGTCCTCATTGCTCTGTCACACCTGCTCCACCCCCAAGAGGTTCTCTGGCTTCTACTTCTTGGGGAAGACGTGCCAACCCCAGCCTAAGAAACGGCCCAGGCTAGCTTGGCCCTACCTGTGGGGGCCCTGTCAGCAGAAGCCGCCGGGGGTGGAAGTTTCGGGTGCCAGAGGCCGGGTCCAGCTGGTTGCTGTAGTCGGCGTGGTGCTGCCGGGCCGAGGTCCACTGCCTGTAGTAGAGGGACTGCTCCTCGCTGCTCATGTCCTTGTTCAGGAGCGGCCGCAGGGAACTCACCCAGGCCACGTCGGCATGGGGCAGCAGGGATGAGGAGGATGGCAGCTTGCCACTCTTCTGGGAGCCTAGGAGGCTGTAGGCCGCTTTGGATAGGATCACCACTGGTGGCAGGGCTGCATGCGGGCCCCGGCAGCCTCTGATGGGCTGTCCCTGCCATGGGAGGGTCCTGGGTCCTGAGGACGATGATGGCGGCTTGGAGGTGGTGCTGCTCGCCATCTGGGGGGCCAGGGAGTCACACTCCTGCTTCAGAGTCTCCCCAGCTCCGGCTCCAGCTGAGCTGGCAGAGACCCCTTCATCCAGGCCCAGACTAGTGGCTGGGCTCTGGAAGCTGGGGGTCAGGGACTGCTTCTGGGACTTGTCAGCTGTGCTGGAAGAGCTCACTCCATTCTCCATGATGGAACCTGTTGAGAGCACAGACAGAACCCACCCCACAGCAGCACTGTTACTGATCGAAGGTGTGCACTCAGGCTCCTGGCAGCTCTGGGAAGGACGCAAAGGCCGGGAAAGCAGTGGACACTGGGCTCGGCTCTATGGCTGCAGACCGAGCAAGAAATCTTCCCTTTGCTGCTCTGCACGCTGCTCCGTGTTGCTTCCTTGCCCTGGCTTCTCAGTGGGTTTGGCCAATGGGAGTCACCAGCAGGAGATGAGGTGCTGCTTCCCTGGCTTCCCCCTGCATGGTCACCAGGGGTGGACCACCTTTCTCTACTGTGGGCTGTGGCAGGTCTGGAGAGATGCTCCCGCCCCTCCCTGTGTCAGGCCCACGGTGGCCAGGGCTCCCTGGGGTTAACCACCCCCCGGCACAGCACACCTCTTGTTCCTTTTCCAAGTTCTGTTCACACCTTAGTAAACAGTCCCACTACTAAAGGCTCCTCAAATGACCTGGTTTGGGTCTGCCCTCTGATTCCTCCCAACACAGGCTCCACATTCAAGTCCTGGTCCTGGCAGCACTGGCTTCCTTCTAGGGGCTGAGGGCCTCATGCCTCTGGCTTCAGATCGGTTCCCTGGACCGCAGCCCCTTCCACGGACTCCCAAGCTAGGGTGTGGGATGCCTTCGCGCAAAGCGGGTGTAGACACACACGACTCCAAGGCCGGTGGCTTTTCCCTAAAGCAGCCCCACGCATTTGGCCAGTTCCTTTCAAGTGTGTGTGTCCTCCTGATAGACCAGCCACTCTTTGGTTTAAAGACGAACCAAAAGCTCAACTGAAGGCCCTATCTGAGCTCGTCTTGTTGCTGCCCAGACATGGAGGTCGAATCCCAACCTTGGGAGATCCTGAATGAACAGCCATCAACAAGACATGATTAAAACCCGCCCCTTCAGTGGCTCGGCTGCCTGTGTCTCTCCGCCTTGGGGGAGAGCTTGCCTTCCCCCCACAGCACTGTGCGTTCTGGGCAGCGAACCTCCTGGTCACCCTCCGAGTCAGCCGTGGCTGGGGTCCCTGTGCTCCGTGTCGTGAGCACGGCCTGTAGGGAGGGACACAGTAGCCAAGGGCAAACACCTTTGTGAGTTCAGCAGAGCAAGGCCAAGGAAGCGCTCACTTTGTGGGGCAGCTCCTCAAGTGAGGGAGAGGAAGGAGTGGGATGGAAGAACCACAGGAAGGAAGTACAGGCTGCGCTCCTCCTCCTCCTCATGCTGGTATCCAAAAGTTTCCAGATATTATTCCCCACCCCCTTCTGTGAACCTTTGCTATCCTTCAAACCCTTTGATTCTATTCTGAAACTGCTCTGAGAGAGAAAATTGGGGAGCCTGTTGCAGTGGGGTTGAGGCAGGTAGAGTGGTCCACACGGTCAGCCCTAACCCCCGGCTGGGGGAGCAGCCGCGCGTGCGTGGGAGCAGGGCAGCTCCAGCTCCTCCAGGCTGAGGGTCACTATCAACAGCAAACCGTACAGACCCCTCCTCTTCCATTCCTGCCCAGAGCCATCCAACAGGTGCTGCCAGAATGGACAGGAAGACCAGTGCTGCTTTTGGACAGAATTGTGTGTTCGCATATCAGAGTGATGGATCTCAATGATAGTTCAAGAAAAGAGTGAGGGGCTGGGCACGGTGGCTCACGTCTGTAATCCCAGCACTTTGGGAGGCTGAGGCGGGTGGATCACCTCAGGTCAGGGGTTTGAGACCAGCCTGGCCAATATGGTGAAACCTCATCTCTAGTAAAAATACAAAAGTTAGCTGGGCGTGGTGGTGGGCGCCTGTAATCCCAGGTACTCAGGAGGCTGAAGCAGGAGAATCGCTTGAACCCAGGAGGCGGAGGTTGCAGTGAGCCGAGATTGTGTCACTGCACTCCAGCCTGGGCGACAAGAAACTCCGTCCCCTACACATAAAAAAAAGCGGGGGGGCTAAGGGGAGAAGGAGGGGGAGTGTGTTTCATTTTTAATCTCAGAATTCTCTGTACTTTGTTACATTTTTTCCTTTTCTTTCTCTTTTTATTCTTTTTTTCTTTTTTTGACAGAATTTTCCTCTTGTCGCCCAGAATGGAGTGCAGTGGTGCAATCTTGGCTCACTGCAACCTCCATCTCCTGGGTTCAAGCGATTCTCCTGCCTCAGCCTCCAGGGTAGCTGGGATTACAGGTGTGAGCCACCACGCCCAGCTAACTGTATTTTTAGTAGAGACAGGGTTTCACCATGTTGGCCAGGCTGGTCTCGAACTCCTGACCTCAGGTGATCCACCTGCCTTGGCCTCCCAAAGTGCTAGGATTACAGGCCCACTGCTCCCGGCTGACATTTTCCATGTTCTCTGCATTAAGCTTTATTACTTTCATAATCAGAAAAAATGGAAAGAGTGCTACATTTGCTGTAATACAATTTATCCGAAGAAAGTTCATGCCAGGCACTGCCACAGACCTGCAGTAATGCTGCAAGACAGGGGCCGGCAGGCTGCAGGGTGGGCCTTCACATCCACGCTGGCCCCACAGGAGCCCTCACCATACAATGCTTGCTGTTAACTGTTTAGAAAAGCCATTCATTCACTCATTCGTTCATTCATTCACATTCAAGGAAACATTTTGTGTCAGGTACTAAGCCATTTAGCACAAACTTACAGCTTCAGGACCTGGAAGAAAAACAGCCTTTGTGCAAATATGAGATGCATAATAACCATGAGACGATTAAGGGTAGAAAAGACTAGGGAAAATGGTACAGGGTAGGGTTGATAAAGTTGTTTTTAGCCTGTTAGCAAGCTCTTCCTTAAATGTTTACCCAGAAAAGTATTTTGTGGCTGTTCAACAGTCATGTTTTCCAAGCATCACCCCCCTGGAGCTGGGTCTGGAGAGGATGCCAGTCCCGAAGGCTCCTCTGAAGGCTGTCGGAGTGTCAATAAATGCCTCTGCCTTCCACATTCCTACACACCTCCTGACTCATGTCTCTCGCGCCATGAAAGAGAAAAGAAAGTACTGACCCGAGGTCCCTGTGACGGCGCTGCTGTTGCTCTGGGGCCGCTCCAGGTCGATGAGCAGCTCATCGGAGTCGTTCTCACTGACAGCAGCTCTCTCCTGCTCCTTCCCGCTGAGGTCCAGGGCAACAGTGGGTCCCCGGATGACCTCTTTAGAGACATAGCAGCATGCCAGACCCACCTCCTGCTCCAAGGCCGTGCGAGTTAAATAGCTTGAGTCAATTAACCGGAGGTCACAGTACTTCAAAGACCTGAACAAAAGTAATTGTGGTGTTGGTGAGTCCATCTGGCCAAGCACGCAATGTGTATGTGTGCCTGGTGATCTGGATGCAGCACACAGCAGTTAAAATCCTAGGTTTCAGTGCCAGGTGAGCCTTGACCGAAACCTCAGCTCTGCCACCTCCTAGCTGTTATGACCTTCATTTCTCTGTGCTTCATTTTCTTCGAATATAAAAAGAATGGATAGTAGTGTCTGGCTTCAGATCGGTTCCCTGGACCGCAGCCCCTTCCACGGACTCCCAAGCTAGGGTGTGGGATGCCTTCGCGCGAAGCGGGTGTAGACACACACGACTCCAAGGCCGGTGGCTTTTCCCTAAAGCAGCCCCACGCATTTGGCCAGTTCCTTTCAAGTGTGTGTGTCCTCCTGATAGACCAGCCACTCTTTGGTTTAAAGACGAACCAAAAGCTCAACTGAAGGCCCTATCTGAGCTCGTCTTGTTGCTGCCCAGACATGGAGGTCGAATCCCAACCTTGGGAGATCCTGAATGAACAGCCATCAACAAGACATGATTAAAACCCGCCCCTTCAGTGGCTCGGCTGCCTGTGTCTCTCCGCCTTGGGGGAGAGCTTGCCTTCCCCCCACAGCACTGTGCGTTCTGGGCAGCGAACCTCCTGGTCACCCTCCGAGTCAGCCGTGGCTGGGGTCCCTGTGCTCCGTGTCGTGAGCACGGCCTGTAGGGAGGGACACAGTAGCCAAGGGCAAACACCTTTGTGAGTTCAGCAGAGCAAGGCCAAGGAAGCGCTCACTTTGTGGGGCAGCTCCTCAAGTGAGGGAGAGGAAGGAGTGGGATGGAAGAACCACAGGAAGGAAGTACAGGCTGCGCTCCTCCTCCTCCTCATGCTGGTATCCAAAAGTTTCCAGATATTATTCCCCACCCCCTTCTGTGAACCTTTGCTATCCTTCAAACCCTTTGATTCTATTCTGAAACTGCTCTGAGAGAGAAAATTGGGGAGCCTGTTGCAGTGGGGTTGAGGCAGGTAGAGTGGTCCACACGGTCAGCCCTAACCCCCGGCTGGGGGAGCAGCCGCGCGTGCGTGGGAGCAGGGCAGCTCCAGCTCCTCCAGGCTGAGGGTCACTATCAACAGCAAACCGTACAGACCCCTCCTCTTCCATTCCTGCCCAGAGCCATCCAACAGGTGCTGCCAGAATGGACAGGAAGACCAGTGCTGCTTTTGGACAGAATTGTGTGTTCGCATATCAGAGTGATGGATCTCAATGATAGTTCAAGAAAAG